CAAGCTTGTCTTTAAGATCTGATATTCTCTGTTCCATTTCCCCAGCACTTCATTTTTGCTTTGTTCCTCTAGGTTTTTTGAGTTCCTGAGTTTTTAATTTCAAGTTTTGTTTCAGTTTGACTTTTCTTCAACAATTCCATCATTATTGAATTCCAACTCCATGTTTTAAATTGTTTTGGTTATTTCATTCAACTGTTTGTTTCTTCACAGTCTTCATTTAGTCTTCTATTTACATTCTTTTTGAGTTCTTTGAACATATTTATAATTTTTATTTTGAAATTATTGTTTGATGCATCACTAGGTTGTCATTCTCAGGAAACATTACAATGGGGTGCTAATTTCTATAGCAGACAGATTATCTTGGTTATTCATGCTGCTTGTATTTTTTAATATTTTATTTATTATTTTACTTTATGTGTACGAATGTATTGCCTGCATGTAGGTAGATGCACCTGTGTCATGCAGTGCCTGTGGAGGTCAGAAGAGAGTGTCAAATCCCCTGAAACCAGAGTTACAGATGGCTTTTAGCCACGATGTGGGTGCCGGAAATCAAACCCAGGACCTCTGGAAGAGCAGCCAGTGCTCTTAACCACTGAGCCATTTGTGTTTGTTTGTTTGTTTAATGAGACCTAGGCATCTGGACTTGTATCGTTGGTGGTGTTTCTTGATATGGGTAAGAATTCTTCTCTTTGTTGAGTGGTTATTTGTATCTTTGTTGTTTCCCCAACTTGTCAGATTTTGGCCCAATTGAGTGATACTTAGTGTTCAATTTGGGGTCTGCTTTATGTTGGTGTGCAATTGGGGTGTAAAAAGTGATCTTAGTTACGCTAAGGATAGCTACAACTTTTGAGTTGAAGTTTCAGGGTTGACTCGTCATAGTTCTGGAGCAACAGAATGGACTGGGTGATTGCTAGATGAACAGGTTGGCTGATAGATCAGGCTGGGAGAGCTCACAGGTCTTGGAGCCAAGGATCCTGGTAACTTGAGCAGGTCTGAGTGCAAGGCAGGTCTGGGAACACTCCCAGAAGCACACAAGTGTCCTGGCAGAGCTGAGATGGCTTGGAGCCCAGGGAGAAAGGGATAGGAGACTTACCAATGCAGGCCTGGGAAAGATCCCAGATATGGGCATCCACAAGAGTCCTAACAGAGCAGAGATAATGGGCACAAGGCGGTAATAAAGGGAATAAGCCAAGGCAGGTCTGGGAAAGCCTCCAGGAGAGTCCAAGGGTCCTGACAACTGAGATCGCTGAATGCAGGGAGGTAGAGGAGGGGAGACTTAGGAAGGTGGGTCTGGGAAAGTTGCTACAATGGATCTAAAAAGCAAAACTGTCCAGCACAATGAGGTGTGCACTAGTTGAAAACTTTTGAAAAGGCTTCATCTCCATAAATTTCAAAAGACTGACCGATTCTAAGACTTCAATGTGGAGTTGCATGACATATTTACTTTCATTTCAATGCATTTGTTATCTTTAAAAAATAAAAAGCAGGAGGAGATAGAGAAGGGACACAACTCCATGAACAGTGTGGGCATCTGCCTGCCATTCTGTTTCCTGGCAGTGTCTCTGCTGTGCCCTCCCACAGGCTCCTAGGCATTCTCTTTTTTGGTCCCTCTAGTTCCCAGGTCTTAAGAGCCGCTATTCTGAGTCACCTACCATTCCCTATTTGAGGTTTCGTTTTTTCTTCTTCTTTATCACTTATTCCTGGATAAAATTCCTTCTATTGAATTGCATGATATGCCAATATTTCCCTGACTGAATTTCAATTGATATAATTATTGAGATCATGTTAAATCTACAACTTAACATAAAGAAAACTGACAAGTCTGGGAGGCTGGCGTTTCCATGGCATCTAGTCTCCATCTGTCCCTCTGCACTGTTTCAAAGCCTAAGTCTTGGAGTTTTTTTCCTATTTGTTGGATTTCTTCTTCTGTATGGCTAGTGTGAACAGTGTTGCCATGAGAATCTGATAGATTCCTGTGTAGAGTCCTCCGAGCTATCCTGGTATACCATAAGTGCTTGTTACTCGCTTTGCTTTCTTCTATTATATCCTTGAACTCATGATTGTTTGAGTGTGAGTCATGGTTTTTCTGTCTAGGTTTTTGTCCAGCTTCTGCTCGGGTGAAGGTGGGAGACAGTATTGGATCTTAGGGCATCATGTTAGCAGAGCAGTGTGCCATGAGAGTCACTATCTCTTACCCTTCTTAGAGCTTCCCTTCCCCACCCATTTCTTCCTCCCGAATTCAGACACTCTCCATTCTAGTCATCTTCCCTAGAGGCTAGGGAGCATTTGATTCTAAAACCCAATAAACAAGGTTGTAATTATTGCCTTATATGTTCTCTATAGCTTAGCAAAATTGACTTAATACCCAAAGGAAACAAAGAATTTAGTGGCCAAATTTTACAGTCCAATATAAACCTGTCAGTTACCCACTACTCAGAAAGGGAATAACAACTATTCTCCATATATCAGTGAGCTAGATTGTGTAACAAATAGCCCCAAAATTAAATAGCTTCAAAAAAAAAGCCATTTAATTTTATTCGCAGGTCTAAAGTTCAGCTGGGTTGTCCTGCTGATCTGAGCCAGCATTGGCTAAACTCAGTCAGGCTCACTCATGCATCTATGATCAACTGAAAGGTGATCTAGAGACTATAGCTGGTCCAAGGCAGCTCCCTCATATGCCTGGGAGCTCTTGGTTGTCATCTAGGACAGTGAATTTGGCTGGGTTCTGTGCCTATCATCAATGATCAGACTAAGTCAGATTCATTTCCGTGGTGTGATCCAAGTTCTGAGAAACAGCAGACATGTCTGAGGTTTCTTACGTCTTGGGCTTGGAGCTTTTGCCCACTCAGTGTCTCTTAGACACTGGTGGTCAGATCAAGACATGAAACCAGCCAGGATCCAAGGGGCTGGAAATGGACCCCTCCTGCTGACATGAAAGGCCGCAAAGTCATAGTATGAAAGGTGGAGATACATGGAATTCTGCAAACTGAGGTCACTCCTTACACCAACATGTTTCCTTGTATAAAAGTTTGCTCTGGCTCGCTGACAGTGTGCTGGGGGACTCACACAGCAGACTGTCCACATGGTCCATCCCACCTGTTTATCTTGACTCACACCCACTTCGCTTTCCGACAACGCCATGTCTTGGCATTGAGCCCAAATCTGAACCTGAGTATGTGATTCCTCATGCCAACTACAAAGACCATCTGTTTCCCTCTGTGTCTTGACTTCTGAGAGTAGTTGCTTGTTTTGATGGAGTTTTTCAGTAGTACAGATTTACCGAGAATCTGAAGGTAATTCCTGTTTGTGGTTAAACAATTATTTGTGGACTTATTGACTCATTCAATCACAGGCTAGTTAACTCCCTGTCCCACTAGAAGCAATTCAGAATGTCACTTCTCATTGTCAGGGAGCAGACAAATCTTGGAGGTAATCCAATCCCCTCTCTTCCTAATGGTGTCTCCACCTCAAACAGGGCCACAGACCCCTGGTGGCCATGCAAGGATAAGTTTTCTCTGCCTCTGAGTCTCTTTCTCCTTTCTACTCCTTCCCTCCCCTCCTCTCCTTTCTCTTCCTCTCTCCTTCCCTCTCCTCTCTAGAGGGTCACCCAGCTGCCCTGCACCAGTCTGTGGAGTGAGGAGAACCTTCCACACTGCATGACTGCTTTCTTTCCCACCTACCCACCCACATCAACCACCACTGCCTCAATGGTAACAGAGAAGAAAGCAAGAAGCAAAGGGCCCAGTCCTGGGCTAAAGTAGACAGGAGAACACTCATAGAAGACAAAATTGAAAGATAAAAACACTAAGAACATGGTGTAGTCAGAAGAGATACATACTCTAGTAGTTAATAACAAAGCTTGCCTTGTATAACTAACAACCATCTGGTACTACCTACTGTGAGTATCATCTTACATTCAGAATGTACTTGACTACATTAGGCTTTCTTCCTATAGTTGGTGTTTGCTTACATGGGTGAAATGCACAGGATTGTTTTCAGTAGGATTCTGGTATGATCCAGTTGGATTAAAGAAGGAAATCTGTATACACATATGTGAAATTTTTATGTAAATTTGGTTAAATGTATATTTTATACTTATAATTTTACATATATAAACATATATATGAAATATCTTATGTAGAGAAATGTAAACATATACATGTGTACTTAAACATTTTCACTAAAAATTACACGAGATTGGGTTCATAATGATTATCTCTGAGAAGGGTTTTAATTTTTTCCATATATTCTTTAGTGATTTCTATAATGAGCACATACTACCTGCCTTAATTACTTTTCTGTTACTGTGATAAAACACTGTAACCAAGGGAACTTAAAGGAAGGAGAGTTTATTTGAGTTTACAGTTCCAAGTTCCAGAGAGATTAGAGTCCCTTGTGGTGGGGAGGCATGGTGAGATGTCCAGAGCAGGAGCAGAAGCTAAGCTCTCACATCTTCAAGCAGGCACAGGAAGCAGAGCACGACTGGAAATTCCAATAGGCTCAAGAACTCTCTAAGCCCACCCCCAGTGACTTGCTTCCTCCAGTATGACCACACCTCCTAAAACTTCCCAAAACAGCACCACCAACTGGGAACAAAATGTCAAATACTTGGAGCCTGTGGGGAACAATCTCATTCAAAGCACCACACTACTTTACAGCTTATTTTGTATTCAGCTGGTTTGTAAATTCTAAGGAGATTCTTTGAGCCTTTCTTACCCTGTTATCTTCAGCTAAAATTATAAATTCTGGTGACTTTATAATGGATCCTTCTTGAAAAAAAAATTTCCACTGTGTCCCCCCAAAAGGATATAGTTTCTAGATCAGATATGATGCAAATCTACTTACTCAGTTGCATTGCTGAATTAGTCCAAGTCCTGGCCCTCTTTGGGCCAGGCCCTGACAAGCAGGAGACTTCTGCCCCACCCAAGCCTGAGTCACTTCTCCTGAATCCCCTGGCTCCTGCATGTTGGACCTGGCACCACATCTTTTTGCTCTCCCAGGGACGCGGGGGCAAAGGCAGCATCTATGTGTGGGCTTCCGGGGATGGTGGCAGCTACGATGACTGCAACTGTGATGGCTACGCTTCGAGCATGTGGACCATCTCCATCAACTCTGCCATCAATGACGGCAGGACCGCCTTATATGATGAGAGCTGCTCCTCCACCTTGGCATCCACCTTCAGCAATGGGAGGAAGAGGAATCCTGAGGCCGGTGTGGTAAGTGCAGGCCACTTCCTGTCCAGTTCTCTATGGCCAGGGTCCCCTCTGTGAGGAAGAGAGAGATGACAGCTTCACTCCCTTCTCTCTAAGAGTTAGCACAGGTTCTGGGGAGAAGATCTGTTTCTTCAGTGCCTGATTATGATAGTCAAGGTAGAAATTCACCCTATGCAGGTGGCTCCCAAGATCACATGATGAGCCCTTTCCAGCTCATTTTCCATAGATTTATTCATTGTCTTGTTTTGACATACAAATATGATTGTCTCTGGTTTATCAATAAGTTTCCATGGCATATCACTTAATAATAATAATAATAATAATAGTAGTAGTAGTAGTAGTAGTAGTAGTAGTCTCCTCTTAATTCTCAGTCACATACCACAAGCCCCAAGAAAACACCCCTATATTACAGCAATTCGAATACCATCAGGATAGGAGTAAAGTGGCAAGTGGTAGAACCCTTGACTTAGCATATAGAAGAGTCTGGGTTTGGATCTCCAGTATGGCAAGGAAAAAAAAGCATCCATAGATGGACTTATCTGGGTCCATAATCCACCTACAAGTGAGTATGGTTGTGTATTTTCTCAAGGGAAAGTGTTGTGATTTCCATAATATTGTAAAATGGATCCATGATTTTAAAAACAGAAACAAAAATTAAGAATCACAGATCTACAACTCTCTCTCTCTCTCTCTCTCTCTCTCTCTCTCTCTCTCTCTC